CTGGATTTGGAAAGAAAGAGCCAGCACTGAATTCAGGGGGCTGTGGGATCCGGGTGCATCTGTGGACGCCCTTGGCCCTGCCTCTCCCCGAGCCTGTCCTGTCAGCCCTCTGCTGCCAGAATGATGCGGCCCAGCACAGCTCTGACTGCAGCACGCTGGCTCCAAGCCTGCAGTGGCCCTGGCACCCACTCGAGGTGACTCCCATGGCCGACTTCCATCAAGCCGTCTACTTGGTGCCTCATGGGTGTCCCTTGGGCAGGATGTGCCAAGTGCGAAGGGAACAAGGCTCCAGGGCCAGCTGGGGCCTTGGCTGTCCTGGGTCAGCTCCATTCGCTCCTCTGTTCACACCGGGTCCTGGGAGGGACAGCGTGGTACCAGGCTTTCTCTCCCCAGCAAGCAGTGGCCAGAAAGGGCAGCATTGTGGTGAGCTGGCTCAGATGGCGCAGCCTGGGCAGAGAGATAGGAGGCCGGCACGGGTGGGTTGGCCACGGCCTGGCCCTGAGACACTGTCTGCACCTGTCCTTTCCCAGACCTGGGCCTCTGCACCGGGAGACACTGCAGGACCAGTGGCCTCAGCCCAACGACCCTGCCCTCCTGTGCCCTCGCTGTGGGCATGGAGCTAAGACTGGGAGCTCAGCTCCTCCTCACACACGGCAGGCCTGGGCTCATGACTTGGTGCTGTGCACATTCAGCGAGGACACAGGAGGTGCAGCCTGCTTCTGCACAGCCTGCGGCCAGAAGTGCTGGGGCGGAGGCTCATGTGCACCTGGCTGCTTGCCCGGCACGCGCAGGTCAGTGTCCTCCGGCAGAGCAGGAGAGGCCCCTTGGTAGGAGACAGGTCCAGCCTTGCCGTGGTGCGCCTGCTCTGTTGGAGCAGATGCGGATGTGCGCTGGGGACTGGGTGGGGCGTGGGGCAGCGTGCACTGAGTCCCCGTGAGGGCAAACGTGCTCCTCTAGCAGGGTCTGGCTACCCCGGGGCCTGGGTGTGCAGGGCCTCGGCGTGGACAGTCGGTGTGTCCACTTCCGTCTGTGGCTCCCCTAGGACCTCGCTTACCTGTCCCTGCCCCACCCCGCTCTGAGCTCCGCCCCGCAGGGCCCCCACAAGGACTCTGGTGTCCAGGACACCTCCGCTGGGCAGCTGCGCCCTGTCTGTCTCCCTGCTGGGCCCCGGGCAGGACCCAGCCTCTCCACTCCTTCATAGCTGTCTGAACTGGAGGAGCAGAGTCATGGGCCATGCACGGAGACCCGAAACTCGCATTCGGGTTACTGTGACTGTCCTGCCAGCCGAGTCCGAGGTCCCAAACTCTTGGCTCCCATCCTGCTCAGTGAGCAGGGCCTGAGCATGTGTCCCCATGGCAGCGTACACAGGCTCATTTCCTGGTGTGAGGGTTAGAAGGGCACGAGCAAACTCAGGTGTGGGAAGATGACAGGAGGGAGGCTGGCAACCTGTTTGTGCCTGGGAGGGCCCAGCTGTGTGCACTGTGAGCCCGGCTCCGTAGGCCTCTGGGGCAGGCACGAAGCACTCTGTGTGGCAGTGTCCTGAATCCAATCCTCAGACCCTATTGGTCTGTGGAGGTCATGAGGAAGGCACACAGGACGCGAGCAGATCCCCAAGGGCCGAGCCAGACCCCGTCTCAAAGTGGAAGAGGAAAGAAGGGCTGGGGTCGGGCCTGGAGTGAAGGCCCCAGCGCCACCCTCCCCCTGCCGTGACCCCCAGGGGACGAAGGCTTTCACCAGACACCTGGCAGATCGGCCCGAGCTGCTGCACGCTCAGCCTCCAGAGCCAGGGGCAAGGTAAACTTCTGCTGTTTCCACAGTGCCGCTGTCCGATACTTTGCTACCCACGGCAAAGGCTTGGGCAGAGGTGGCGCCCATAGTGCTGTGACCAGGTCGGCTGCGTGGTGGCCCGTGGCAGAGACAGGGGTGGCAGGGAGAGAGAGCCTGCCCACCGAGTCTCCGAGCTGGGAGCCCTGGGGTGCGGGCACGAGAGCAGGTGGAAGCCAGGCGGGGGACTTTGCACACGCACCGGACCGGAGCCTGGCCCGCTGCTGACCCCCAGAGGGTCAGGCTCAGTGCTCACTAATTCTCCAGATGCCAACAAGCCCGCAGATGTTACATTACTGATGGAGAAAAGAAGGACACCCAGTCCCACCAAAAATAATTTATTTCAAGAATTCCATATACAGGCAACTTAGGCTTTGTGAAAAGTCAAACCCTTACTCCTGGAAGGTTAATTTTGCTCCAGAATGAACTAAATGCAAGCGGAGGAGCAATTATTTTCTTACAAAAATAAATTTATCTCTCCCTAAGATAAAAATAGCCTCTGATCAGTCAGATGAGAGTGTGATTTCTAAAGGAGAGGCAATTCTTTAAGCAATTTTTTGAGCTGTTCAATTGAAAATTGCTCAAAAACTGAAAAGTTATAGAAAACTAGTGTGCTACTAGGGAAAAAAATGTGGTTCATTATCAGTTGCAAACTTCCACTGCCCTTCACTAATAAAGCAGCTTTGTTGTGGTGTGGCTGGCAGGTAATGAACTTCGTGCACGTGAAGTGTGTGCTTCCGCCAGGCCGGCCAGAGGCGTGCACCCCCAAGATCTTCCTTCTCCGCCCCCTTGAGTTTCTAACCTGAGTCCCCCAGTAGCATTGATCACCTCTCAGTAACTGTAGAGTATTTTGGGTTTTCTGGAGATTTCTATGAATGGAATCATATTGTACGTAAATTTTTGGTTTGGTTTTTTCCTCTTCATACAAATACTTTAAGATCCATCTAAAGTGTCTATTTAAATAGTTTGTTTCTTCTTATTGCTAGTAGGATTCGGTCGTGTAGATCCATCTTAACTGTGTTTTTGGTTTTGTTTTGTTTTGTTTTCCATACCAGGGATCGAACTCAGGACCTTGTGCTTGCCAGGCAGGCGCAGGCACCACTGAGCTACATCCCCGGACCTCTTAGCTGTGTCTTTGATCCATTCATCTGTCGATAGATATTTGAGTTCTTTACAGTTTGGGATTATGAAAATGAAGATGCCATGAAAATTCACACAGCCAACTTTGCAGGGACATGGAGTCCATGACCCTTGCACAGATACAACTCCCAGGGGTGGAGGCTGGGACATGTGTGGGTTTGGGATTAGCTCTTTGAGAACCTGCCCACTTGTTTTTGCATGGGCAGCACAGATTTGCACCCTCATGCCTGCATGTGAGCGCCCTGGTTCCCCGGGTCCTCGGCAGTTGGTATGGGAGCAGTGGGCAGTGCTTCTGTTGTAACTATGGTAAAATGCACTGCGCCTGCTCTGCCACTCCACTGATTTCAAATGGATGACTGGTGGTGTTAAATTCCATCCATTGGCTTCTGCAGATATCACTACCTTTTCCCAGCACAGAGGCTCTGTAAACAGTAAGTAGTAACTGTTTTCTCATCCCCAGGTCCTGGTCACTTACCTATTTCTCTCTCTCTCCATTCGTCTATTCTAGATATTTCATGTCAGTGGCAGAATGCAATTATTTTCCTTTCTGTCTTCAATATTTTGCTTCACACAAGGCTATTAAGTTGCATCCATCATGTGGCTCATGTCAGCATTTCATTCCTGTTGAGGGCTGAATAATATTCCATGACATGGATATACCATATGTTGTTTATCTGTTGGTGGAGACTTAGGCTCTGTTCACCTTTTGCTACTGCAAATGATACTGCAATGGATATTGATGAACAGATGTCCTTTTGAGGCTCTATTTTCAACTCTCTTGGGTTTATTAGGAGTGGAATTACTAGGTGTTATGTCAATCCCATTGTAGGTTTTTGAGGACTGCCAGTTTACATTCCCAGCAATGCACAAGGCTTCCCATTTCCCATATCCTTGTCAACACTTACTTCCTTTTTTTTTAAACTATGGCCATTCTGATAGGTGGGGGTAGTATCTCACTGTGTCCTTGATTCTCATTTTCATGGCTGGATAATATTAAACATTTTTATGTGCTTTTGGCCTTTTGTATTTTCTTTGAGTAAGTGTTCATAGTTTTGCTCATGTTTTCATTCAGTTGCTTGTCTTTTATTTTTGAGCTTCAACGTTTTTTACATATTCTGGACATTAAACTCAATTGGGTATGTGATAGCAGGTTCTTTTTCATTCCGTAGGTTGTCTTTTTACTCCAATGTCAATGTCCTTTCATATACATGTTCTTAAGATTGAAAAAGTCTTGTTTATGTGCTTTATTGTTGTTGTTTATACTTCTGCTGCCGTGTCCAAGGATCTGCTGCTAAATCTTAGATTTCTTCTAACAGTTTCATTGTGTTAGCTTATTTATTTATGTATTTATTTATTTTCATGGCACTGGGGATTGAACCCTGTGCCCTAGCATTGAGTTACACCCCCAGCCCTTTTTTGTTTTTTTATTTTGAGACAGGGTCTGAGTAAGTTGTCCAGACTGAGTTAAATTTGGGATCCTCCTGCCTCAGCCTCCCAGACTGCGGGGAGTACAAGTGTTTGGTGTTAGCTCTTACATATAGATTTATCCCTTTTACATTTGGTGTGAGACAGGGGTCTGAACACATTCTACATGTAGAAATTCAGTTGCCCCAGCACTGTTTGTCAAAGAGACTGGTTTTCCCTCCATTTAGTAGTCTTGGTACATTTTGAAAAACTATTGTACCAAGGGTTTATTATTTCTGGGGTCTCTATATGATTCCACTTGTGTATATGTCTATCCTTATGTCACTACAACTTTCTCACTACCGTGGATCTTTGTAGTAAAATTGAAATCAGCTTCCTTCTTCTTTTCCAGGATTGTTTTGGCTGTTGGGGGTCCCTTACAGTTCTACATAGATTTGAGGGTCAGCCCTTCCATCTGGCAAGAGCCACCACTGGGATGTTGGCGGAGACTGCATTGCACCTACGGATTGCTCTGAGCCGCAGCTTTACCTTCCTCTCCTGGAGCACAGGGTGTCTCTTCACTTAAATAGGTCTTTGGTTTTTGTTTTCACCAGCACTCATAGTTTTCAGTATTAAAGTATTTCGTTGTATCGGTTAAATTTATTCCTAGGTATTTCATTCTTTTTGATGACCTCTTAAATTGAATAGCTTTCTTAGCTTATTTCCTTTTGGATTGTTTGTTTCTGCTGCAAAGAAACACAAGTGATTTCTGTTTGTTGATCTTAGAGGGAAAGTTCAGGCAACTGTAACTGAGTGACTTGAAAAATAAGTTCAATACCGATGGGAAAAGCGTCTTCAGTAGGGAAGTGATTTTGAAATTCCAAGTCAAGACTTCTGCTACTAGCCAAGGTTTCGTGACAAGGGGTGGGCTTATTCCACAGGCTGAAAACAAACAAAATACGCTGCCCTTGCCCTGGCTGTGGGAGAGAGCGCTGAGCCAGGCTGAGCCGCCCAGCCCTGTGGCTGCTAACACCCTGGCTGCCACCTGTGGGGAGGCCCCGAGTGGCCGTGGCTGTGAAGCAGGTCGGCTGGCTGTGCCAAGCTCCACGTGGTGGCACCGTGCAGGAACCAGCGTGGTGAAGAGGGCCGTTGGAAGGAACAGCCCTCCAGCAGGCGTTCTGGATAGAACCTCTCCACCTGCGGACTGCGAGCACCGCCGGGCTGGATACGCTCACACACGTTTGATAAAAGAAAACAGGCTCCACTGGCAGCCACAGCCCGCTGAGGTGGCGGGAAGTGTCGTAGCCGGGAGGGAAAGAAAGCCTTTTGATTTTGAGAATTCAGGATCAAACCCAGTGCCTCTCTGAGCCTTTGAATTTCGCCACCATCTAAATGCAAAGCTCTGAGGCTTTTTGGCTGGGAAGCAGAGCAGAGGCAGAGAATAAAGGATGGAAAGGGAGGAGGCTCCCAGGTTCCAAGTCAGACGGAAGGAGGGAAGAGCTGCTTTGTGCTCACAGACAAGAAAAGGCCACTTGACGCTTGCGCTTATGACTGGAAAATTTGCAGTTAGGAAAAGCAGGCAGCAGTGCAGACAGCCCTCGGTCTGCACCTCCCAGAGTGTTGAGCCCTTCGGACGCTCCCTGTGGTGTGGACCTGTGTGAAGTCTTTCACGGGTCGCCCTGTGAGCTGTCGGAAGGGTGTGACGCACACAGCAACTGTGCGTGCGTCGTTGCGTGCGTACAGCCCGGCGCTGTCGTGGTCTGTTGTGGCGATCCACGTGTGCGTGACTGTGTTCGGGACACCTTACAGAATGGGATCCCAACTACTGATGTTGTAGAATAAACTTGGCTAAATGGGTTTGTGGATCATTTCTACTCAATATTGATTGGGGCACAAACCGTGAGTGCAAACACCAAGTCTAGGAGAGTGACCGGAAACCGTCTGAGACTCTGTATGTGCGCGATATCCTCTCCTACCAGCACAAGAGTACCTGCCATGGCTCTGGAAGGGCACGTATTTATTTATTCAGTACACAGGGTTGAGGCCCAGTCACACAGCAGAGAGACCGCAATGGACAAGACTCTGCTTTCTTCCGGTTAACAGATTGGAGACGTTGATTTAACAGTAATTCTTCTGTGCAGTGAATAAGTACTGTAAATCCATTCACTTACTCTCACTCATTCCGTGTTGGGCTGTCTGCTCTTTTGAATATCCACAGCTTACATAAATACAAATTGGATTTAAAGTGCAAAACAAAAGAGTTGAAATAATTATGCATCAATGTGGGTTCAAATGTTTTGCCTAAATTAGCTCAGCAGTTCCTCACCCCTGGTCAGCAAACAAGCAGCTAGATGTGAGGCTGTCAGGAGCCATTCCGCACTGCCATCGAGTGAGGTAAGCTCGCGCGTGAGAGGACCGTGCTTCCCAGGACACCAGAGGAGCCCTGCCTGTGCCTGGGTTGGCGAGGGAGGGCCCCTGGCTGGACGTGCATGGCCAGAAGCGGTCCCAGCCCCACAAACCGGCAGAGCCCGGGACCCGTGGGGCCCTGTGGTGCCCGAGATGCTCCTGCAGTAAGCGTCCATCACCCCAGGGCGCCGTGCTAGGACACAGGAACCTTCCTCAGGGGATCTGTGCTGCTAAAGAAGGGCTGGGGTCAAGCCGGGCCTCGCAAACGCTGAGCAGCAGCCCCTGCCTGCCGGACCTGGGGCACAGTCGGGTCGGCTTCTTAGTACAGATGATGCCCGGGCACGCAGAGGCCAGGTGCAGGGGCAAGGGGAAAGGGGGAGCTCCATACCAGGTGAGGAGGGACCGGAGTGGTGGCAGCCCAGGAGGGCAGCGGAGTGGGATGTGCCTGGGATTCCTCCAGCAAGGCTGCAGCAGTGACCAACCCACACTGGCCACACTTTATTTTAGCTACACTGTTTCATTTTGAAAATAATGACAAGAAAAAGTCTGTGTGTCTTCAGTACGGACACAACTGTTATTTCTATTTGGTTGACTGAGGTTGGCTCAACATGTGGATTCTGAGCCCATGGAGAGAATCCCACTCTCCAAGGTGAGTAACAGAATCTTCGCTGTGAATCTAGCAGTTATTCAACTAACAATCCGGGTACTGCTGACTTAGACATGTGACTCCTCGGGTGGTCTACTAGGACGTGCAGCAATCACACAGATACTGGTAACTTGGCAGCGAGCGGCTTAGATCTCAGGAGGAAGCTTGCCTGGGGCTCTGACACTCTGTGGCATCACCTCATTTGGTGACAAAGCTCACTGGACTGCTACAGATTCTGGCAGAGTCACAGAGTCAAGGGCAGGGCCGAGGGATCTGCGTAGCCACCTCACCTTTCCTTCTCCACCTAACAAGGTCGACTGACCTCATTCCACCCAGAGACGCTTCTGGAGTATTTGAAGGAAAACAGCAAAAACAGCGCTTTTGGCCGGGGGGTGGGGGGGTGGGGGGGTGGGCGTACCTGAATGCACACACAGCAGTGGGTGGGCAGCCCCTCTCGCCTGTGAGCCATGACTGAGCCACGTGTGGGCTGAAGCCTGGCGTGGGAGCAGCTGTCAGGGGAGTCCTGCCTGCGCCTCTGCCACTCACTCACCATGGGGCGCTGCAGAGTAGTGGCTCTCTAGGGTCTGCGGGCCCATGGACCTGGCCCAGATGTCCTCCCTTTGCTTGCTTGAGGCCTCATATTTAGTGATCGGAACTGGAACGAAATCCTTGCCCTCTTGACATTTGTTCTACGTTTGGGTGGAGCTTTGTTAGGTCCACGCCTCCAGGTTTTGCTGACTCTGTGAGGAAGGCATTGACAGTCAAACCCGGATTAAACTGAAATGCCCTTTCTGAAATGCATTTTAAGCCTTGTTGAAAATCTCTCTGGAGTCTGTTGCACTCTCTCTGGCTTACTGGACGTGCATAGGTCTTTCCCTGTGAAGGAAGCGTCATCGCAGTGAGTGTCCAGGGTCGAGCAAGAGGTCTGAGAGGTCAAAGAAGCTTCCATCAGTCACTGCAAGGCCCCTGTGCCCTTGGTCATGGCCCTTAGGGATCCAAATTGCAAGTAATGCAGCATCGACCTCATCGCTGCTGTCAGGTGGTAGTGACACACATTGCACAATGCCCAGCACTTAGTGGAAGACTCCTAACTGTGTTGGTGATGATGCTGGCTATGCCGCTGAGAATGACTCCTGTGGGCTGGGGGTGGAGCTTAGTGGTAGAGCTGGTGCTTAGCATGTGTGAAGCCCTGGTTTCAGACCTCCACAGCAGCAGCAGCAATAGGAAAACCAAGGGTGGGGTTTTTTTGTACTTGTACCGGAAGATCCCAGATACCTGATCTATGTTCTACTTGATGATCTATCGATTCATTTATCACAACCAGTTTTCAATGCTTCATTATATCTCCTTTTTAAATTCTTTCACTGTGGCCATACATTTACCATAATCCCTTTTTAAGTGTGTGGTTCAGTAATATTAAGTCCACATACATCACCATCCAACGATACACGTGCTTTTGTAAAAATGAAGTTAGTGTGTGCAGGACAGAGGAGTGGCTTGGGATCTGGGTTCTGGGGGAGGGAGGTGCATCGACCAGTCTGGCTGGTCCATCCCAGGGAGTGGCCTCGTGGCTAGCTGGAGTGCAGCAGTGGATACCTGGTGGATGGAGGGGTAAATTAGTATGTTTCCTAAGTGGGGGAGTGTTACCACATCACCTGCTGTGAGAAACCACTGACAGAAATAGAATTTTCTCCATCTGAAAGTGCTCCGGATGGAAAAGCTTCTAAAATAGGAAACTCAGAAATAGTTTCTGTGTTAGTGTCGGGGCTGAACAGACATGGGAAACTTAGACAACAGAAGTGGTTTTCTCATAGCTCCAGAAGCTGAAGTCTAAAGTCTCAGTGTCTGCAGGTTTCTTTCTTTCCCTCCTGGCTTGAGGATGGCGTCTCCCACTGTGTCCCCAGTGGTGCCCTCTGTGTGTGTTTCTGCACTAGTCTCTGCTTACGAGGAGTCCAGTCTTCTTGGGCCAAGGCCACAGTCATGACCTCATCGTGGCTTAAGTACTCTGAAGGCCCTGTCTCTAAATATGGACACATCGTGAGGTGCTGGAGGTTAGAACTTCAACTTGTGGATTCTGGGGGTGAGGTGAGCGCAGTTCAGCCCATAAAAGCCCTGGTGATCCCTCCAGAACCAGAGGTGTTCCAAGTCCTCCCCAATTCCAGACAAAGCGAGTGAAGCTAGGCACCCTGTACCCCGGGCCTGAGAGCTTCCAGTGCACACGATCGTGGGGGGACTTTACAAGTGCAGCTGGCAGCCCCCGAGACAGAATGTCCTACTGGTGCTGAGCCGTGTACATTTTTCTTAGACAGAATAACAAACAGAGGCAGACTATTTTAAGTCCTCCCCTCCTTTCTGCCAAGAACGATCTCTGTGTTCCCCAGAACTCATGCCCTTCGTGGCCGTCTTGTCCCATGTATTTGCCCTGGAAAGAGCAGTGCTGGCTTCTGGATCATCCATGCAGCTTTAAATAAACACATCTGAAACAGATCCTCATTCTTCCAAGAGTCCGAGGTGAGGGACTCACGGCTAAGGAACTTGCAGGACAGTGCTTTGGAGTAGCACTTTGTGGCCCATTGGCAGAGCGCTTGCCTAGCATAGGTGAGGCTGGGGCCTTGAGTTCAGCCTCCAGAACTACAAGGTAGCATTGCAGTTTCCCTTACTGCACTGAGCTGCTGTCGCCTAGCGCATCCTTCTATTAGTGTGCAGGATATACTAGAAAACCAGTGGAATGGAGCTTCGCGTGTCACCCAGTGGCTGCGTTCTGTGCAGGGAACTGTGTTGTTGAGGCAGGAGAACAGACACCCGTGGTGGTGTCAGAGGTGCTCATGCCCATTCTGCTGTGTTGTAGCCACCTGATGGTATGCACCTGCAGACAGCTCAGTTCAGTATGAAGGGTGTGGGGCACTTTGGGGAGAAGAAGCAATGGCAGCCTGAGAGGCCGATAAAGGAGGACTCCACTAACTGCACTCAGTTGTCTGTACGAAGGCTGGCTCCCTGTGCCCTCTCTGCTCCTCCTCCTCCTCCACGCCTGCTCTCCCCACCTGAGCCAGGCCCTGTTGTACCTACCAGTGGCCCAGCTCCACATTAAAGATCCTCTGCAGGGAGCCATTGTCCCATCAGTGGAGCCAGATAACAGGAAGGTGCCGGGTCACACATTGGCCATTTAAATGTTTGTCAGCAAAGATCTATGAAGAATTTTTAGTGTGCAGATTCCTGCTATTCAGATGGAATTTGCTTCTCTAAATCTATGTAGAAAATTAGAAGGAGTGGATCTATCAAAAATAAATAAATAAACTCCTTCATCCCTTTCTATCACTGGTTGCTTCCTTTGCTGTTATCTCATATTTTCTTATTTTGCATTCAAGCTATCATCATTTCAGCTCACTTACTAACTCATACTCGTTTAATAATTGCTATTCATTATAAAGGGATTAGCTATTATTCGTTATAAAGATGAGAAAGCCTGGGCTGAGTTCTGTGTGTATTCACATTCTGCAGACATTCATATGCAGAATTCATCCCTGAAATGTCCCTGCAGTAGATGAGAGACCAAGAAACAAATGCCCATTACAATGGAAGAGCCTGAGTCTCCATTTCTCTAATGCATGCATGTTATTATTTCAGGTCTCTGAATTCAACCCTCTGACATTCACCAGTGTAATCGAGTGTGAGAAGCCAAACAATGACCTGAGTCGATTTCGTGGTTGCATGTGAGTACCATGTGACCTGTACTTGTCTCTTCTCTCTCTCACACAAACACATGTGCGCACTCATGCACGCACGTATTGTGTATTCTTTGCCACACGGGGTGGCCTCAGGAAATGTTGCCTGCCTCTACACCCTCGTGGTGCTTGTGGGGTAGTTCCTAAGACCCTGTCGCTGTAGACCCCCGCAGTGGCGCCCCGTTGAGGAGTGGCTGTGTTTCCCTCTGGCAAGCCCGAGCAGAGAAGGAGAGGCTGTGGCGCGGGAAGGGCGGCCGTTCACACAGGGCCAGGCGGGGGCCGGGGCAGAAGTTCACCCTCTCCTTCCTTCGCTCCATCGTCAAGCAAGTGGTCCCTGAGCGCTTACTGTCGGGCTCTGCTCAGGGCCCTGGATGTAGTACAGCAATGAAACAGACAGAACGTCTCGTTTTCATGTTTGTTTCATTCTACTTAGGGGAAAAGAGGCAGCCCCCCCACAGCCTGAGAACAAGTCCTGTGAGTGTGTCATGTTTCATGGTCCAGTCCTTGTCCTTTCTCCAAACTGGCAGCACCGCGGAGCCGGACAAGCGGGCCGGACCAGCCATCTGTGGGTTCCGTGCTCCTGATCAGAGCTGGTTGGTGAGGACCCGGGGGTCCTTAGCTATTCCTTGTGCTTTCTTGTCTGCTTGGAAAGTTCCTGAATAACCGTGATAATGCTTGTACGTGTAGTCAGCTGGTGTGGGGAGGTGCATGGAAGAGACAAATGTGTCTGGGAGGGCTTGCTGAGTTGCAGGTGGCAGCTGTGTAGAGTGGATTCCGGGGGATGTGGCAGGTGATGAGGACCCGAGGGACACAGGCCTGACACACCCTGCTGGGCCACGTCAGCCAGCTCTGCAGACTCAGTGTGTGGCCTGGAGGATGAGGCGCTTTCTCCCTAGGGCGTCCGGCTCCCAGTGTGAGCTCACAGGTGACACGGGCGACTGCCTAGAGGCCAGGTGTAGCGGGGCCTCGTCCCTGCACAGCAGGGGGTCAGGCACTCTGCAAGTGGACCCCATTTCTGAGAGTGTTAGGGTCCGTCTGCATCTCCCGATTTGCTGATGCACCCAGCACTGCTGCCTGTGCGGAGCTCCCAGGGACGCTGGCAGAGCATAGAACACTCACCTACCTGCACGTAACCTGTCCGCGTGGATTTTCTTTCTGTCCGCTCCCGACTGTTTCCTCCAGGTCCTGTTGGCCGTTACCTGAGGAATTCATGCACACAGTCCCATCCCCAGCACCGCTGTGAGGCCCAGGCCAGGTGGTGGGTTTCCACAGACACCTGGCCCTGAGTAATGATTGTGATGGTGAACTAACCTCTGCAGAGAGTGTTCTCGGAGGTGCCCATGGAGTATCTTATGGGGCCAGCTCTATCAAAAAAGGATGGAGACACAGACCTCCCTGTCCACACCATGCCTGGCTCATGGAATTTCTTCCCTTCTCTCCCATGAGTCCCCCATGAGGTCCTGACAGACACAGTGTCCGAAAGCTCCCAGGACTCCCGTATGTGCATTGCCTGTGTGGGTTGGATGGACCCCGGGAAGGACGGATTCCCTCAGCAGCAGCCCTCAATCCTGCCTTCACGGGACTTTAGGGCACCACCGTTTAGTGGACCTCATAGCACTGAGGCTGGCAGGATCTGCGGCCCAGTTTCTAGTCTGATAACCTGGCTAAGTCACTTAACTTGACCCAGGTATATAATGGGATAATCTTAGGATATGCCTCATGTCGTTATTGGAAGTTTAGTTAATGTAATACACAGAATAGTAGGTACTTCATGCATATTGGGTTTATCATTGTGACTGCTGCTGTTAATTATTATTACAGAAAATAATATAAAGCAAGGGGAGAGAAGGCTCAGGAGAGAGCTGGGTCTTCAATGTGTATATCAGAAAGGGCTCAGGAAAAAAGAGGGTACTGAGGATTCCTGAGTGTGAGGAGGAGGCAGATATGTAAAGCGAAGTGATTCAGCTCACAGCAAGAGAACCTGAGCCAGGACTTGTTAGTCCCTTGCCCTTACTATAATGAAATGTCTGAGGACGGGTACTTAATAGAGCAGTTTTTAGCTCATGGTTTTGGAGCCTGAACATGCAGCACAGTGCAGACTCTGATGAGGGTCATCTGGCTGTGTCCCTTGCGGTGGGCAGCATCATGGTGACAGTGGGGAGAGTACACTGCCAGACAAGAAGCCAGACTGGGCCAGAGGTGCAGTAACAACCTCCAGGGAACCAACCTTCCAGTGCACAAACCCACAGGGGATGACGCATATCACTTCCAAACCATTGAGTTGGGGGCAGGTGAGGGCTCCAGAAACTGCCTAGAGGTCATGCTCAAGGTCAGGGAAGAACCAGGTCACATGGGGCAGAGGGCAAGGAGAGAAAGGAAAGAAGTGAAGGCAGTAATCCCCAAAGACCTGAGCAGCTGTACTCGGTGTGACAGGGATACTCTTCTCGGGCGAAGCAGGGGACAAAGCAGGAGGCAAAGCAGTTACGTGGGAGGGAGGTCGGCAGTGTGCTGGATTCCTCAGGAGCCTGAGCAAGGTGACAGCCAAGCAGCTGTAGACACAAGAGGGCAGGCCAAGGTGCAGGAGATGGAGGAGCAGATTGCTCAGCCATACTTTCTAAAAGGGTGACCTGAAGGGGAGAAGGAGAGCAAGGCCAGAGAGGCAAAGGCCTGAGAAATGGAGGGACATTTGTCAGGGAGGCTGCAAGCTGCAGGCCTCAGGTGTGTGGGCGAGGGGTGCGGAGCTCAGGCCTCTGCCTGTGTACCTGATGCACCATGGTCACAGACGAGGCATCTGGTTCTCGCACAGCACCATCCGGGAGCAGGAAGCCCTGTCCCAGCCAGACTAGCCCGGAGGGCTCTGGAGGTGGCTGTGGGTGGCACTGTCGTGAAAGATTTCCTGGGACTCTGGGTCCCCCTGGAGCGAGTGCCTTGCTCCCCACTCCACCTGTGCAGGTGAGGGCAGTGCACAGGGAGAAGAGCCAGGCAGCCCCTGGCTGGGGAGCACTCCCGTCAGGCTGCACCAGGCAGAGCAGGGTAGGAGCTACCCAGAAGGCAGCTCAGGCGCAGTCTCAGGACCGAGTCAGCTGCAGGGCCAGTCCCGGAGCTGTTGGCTCCGATCTCGTGACCTCCCCAGGCCAGCCTCCCTCAGCCTGCAGGGGACAACAGCCTCACTCATACCCCACCGAGGAGCCTGTGCTCAGGCCCGGGCCTGCTGCCAGGTGTCCCTCTTTTTCGGAGCAGGCAGTCCAGACTCAAGCCTGTGACATTTGCACCTGGAGAACAGAACTAAGCTTGCGTTCTGGATTACATCGTCCCCTGGCCAGACGCCATGGCCCTAGGAGAGCTGTCCAGCCTTCTGACTCTGGAGATGACTGTGCCCCACAACCCATGGGCTGACCAGAGAATCCAGTGAAGAACACAAGGGAGGAACCACAGGGCTGAGGACATGGCGGGCAGGACGCATCGAGCCAGGAATATTTGCACAGACGGAGGGATTGGGCTGCCAGGCTCTGGAGAGCAGAGTGGGACAGGAATGCGGAGCCAGTGCCAGTGGGTACAAGGCTTCTTCGGGGAGTGTCCTCAAACTAGCTGATGGTGTCAGTTGCACAACTTGAATATACAAAAACCAAGAGCACTGCACTGTGTGCTTTCAATGAGTAGATATTATAGTATGGGAAATCTCTCCCAAGCTACTGTTAGAAAATGTTAGAAGACTCCACTGTGCAAGTGCACTGTAAAGCACAGGGTTCCTTAAGACAGTCCCTACTGTTTCAGCTGTGTCTAGCTGCTGTCCCTCCAAAGCTTCATGCAGTCTTAGGTGGGACTTTTTTGGAGGTGGCCGAATCTAGAGCATGTGATTGATTCATGGTGCAATGCTAGGATTAAGGGTAGGTGATTACTAAATCAGCCCACTGGCACCCTGGTTGGCTAAGCCTGGTAGCCTAGATAGAATACAAAAGGGATAGAAAGAAGCTGCTAAGATCGCTTGGACTTGCTGCTTGTGACATTGGCCTTCTGCCCTGACCACATGGTTAAGGAGCCTTTGGGAATGGTTTGTGGGAAGAGTTAGAAAAAGTTAGGCTGAAAAAGCAGCCCTGGAACACCTGAGGCTGTGCTTAACAGGAGATTCTGGTCAGAGCTTGGAAGACCAGAACACTGCTAGAAATGCTGCTGGTAAAGATGAGGCTCAGGAAGTTTCTGTTGGAAAGAAGGACTGCATTGGCTGTTGGACTCCAGAATATGTGTGTTATGCCTTGGCAGAAAGTTTGTCTGCATTGTGCTCATGTCTAGAGCCTGAGATTAAGGGTGGTGGACTAATTAATCTTGAAGAAGAAATTTCAAGGCAGTGTAATGTTGGGGCAGTGGTATGGCTACAGTTGGGGGCTTTTAACCAGATCTGTGTTGAGAATCAAGAGCAAAGAGCCCAGCAGAATGATTTAAACCATTTTCAGTTTGGCAAGAAAGGAAGCTCCAGTAAATCTGTGGACTGCAAAGATAAAGCAGAGGAGATCTTGATTGCGGGAAGGAAGAGAAGAATAGAAAGGATGGCCTGAGGACATCACAGGAAGCAGCAGGACTCCACCCTTTGCAGCCTCAGAGTTGCAAAAGTGAAGGACTTTGCTTTGAGAGGAGAGCCCCAGAGCACCATGTTCAAGAATAGTGGTGGCCTAGGGAAGTTGTTCCTTGGGATTTGGTTCATAGGCATTGAACCTCTACAGCCAAGAGAGAAGGCAGCCTGGTTACTGCTCCAGCTGGCAGCAGACCTTGGCATCATCCACATGGCACTGGTTTTAGGTGCATGCAGAATGCAAAAGTTGTGGAGTCAGGAAGACTTCCACCCAGATTTCAAAAGAATACCTGGGAGGCCAGGCAGTATGCCCCTGAGAAGGCAATGTGTGAAGCTCTGAGTGTAAAGCTGAAGGTTCAGTGGGGAGGTTTGGAGAAGCCAGGAATGTGAATCATCTGAGGAAAACTGCAAAGAGGGAGCA